AACATTTTTTAAAACAAAAATTACAATTTCATGAAAATCGATCATGGAAGAGGATTGTGGTACCTAAACTGGCAAACAACAAATCAACAATGTTCGCATGCCACAAATTACAACGTACAGATAGCAATAAAATCGTGTGCGGCGGGTCACGCGATTCGATAGGAAATTTATTCAAATTCGTGGAAAATTAAAATTTTAAACAGTTTTCCGCTCAAAACTCGTTAATAAAAATAAAACTGGCGTAATTACATAAAGCTGGGTAATAAAAAATTTCTGATACGATCGTTGCCGCATGAATTATTATTACCGATTCATAGTAAAATCTATGTATGCAAGCGCAAAAAACGCACTCGATTGTAATATGCATAGTAGGTAATGTAACAAGGCAAACGGGGCGCCAACGTGAATGAATAATCGGCCGGTGTGCAACATGCAACGTGCCGCATGAAACGTGTAGCACGTAACATTGAATAACAATTGTCCGCGCTACAATAAACCTGCGCAATTGGAGCAAACCCGGCAAGTCAATAGCCCGAACAATGCGAGTAATAATAATAGCAGACGTACAAATGTAGTACCTACTCGTGTCCTAATCGCAGAAATAGGTAGAATTGAAGGAGGCTAATTTGGTGATGGATCAATCAAATATATTCAAATGCAATTGGATATAGAAGAAGAAAGTGTAATTTTTATGTAAATCAAGCACAATTGTAAGGAGTTTTATGAGTTTTGAATAATTGGACAATTGATATTTATCAAAAAATATTGGAAATTGAAAAAAAGTTTAAAATTTCAGGAAAAATCAATAATTTTAAGTTAAAACTACGATTTTTTACTGAAATTCTTGAATGATTAATATAAGATTACTTACAAAATAATGTAAATCAACTGGAAAAATAAGAAAAATAAGATATTATATGTAGTAAAAGATATTATATGCAGTAAAATATTAAAGAGAAAAAATAAAAAAATTAAATTTTTAACCATAATTGGATGTAACTCAAGAAACAAATAGAAAACAATTTAAAACTATGATTTTTTATGATTTCTTTGAATAAAAAAATTGCAAATTTAAAGAAAAATAAATAAAATTTAAAAAATGATGTAAAATATCTCGCAAAATAGCAAAAAATAGGAAATTTTATAAAAAAAAACTTTCTTACATCTAGAAAAATATTTGTTTGGGGTAAAACAATGATGTTACTAATTAATTTCAATTGTGATGACGTAATTTTTAATTTCTTTGCGCTAGACACATAACATACTGTTACAGCACACACATCGTGTAACAAGTAGTCTTCGGCTGTGCACAATACATTCGCATTCGACAATGTGAAAATTTGCATCACGGCCTAGCCGACTTTCTGATATCCACAGCGCATAGACAGACGCTCTGCTCGCTTTTGTTCCTCGCTCGGCTTTCTTCGCCTTTACGCGGTTTACATCAGCCAAACGTTTTCATCAAATAACAGCAAACAGCAATGGATGCGTTACACACGCCGCGGCAGACGTAATGAAATGTGCGTGCGCACACGCAACGGCGAACAAAAAGCCGCTTTTATGAGGAAACTAATTCCGCTCCTTAATGCCTTTTAATTCCACCGCATGCGTAACATCGTAACAAGACGCGCATCGCGCGCATGTGGACGGCATATAATTCTATGCAAATGCTGACACACAAATGCCACAACAGCACATCACAACAATGGAAAATAGTGCGGTATTTCGCTAGCTGTCTTTCCATTTGGATGAACTTATAAGTGTCATGAGGAGACATGAAATGTATAATATTCATAAATATTCATAAAGTATTCAAAAGTAAAATGTGAATTAATGATACAAATTATTTAGATAATTTTAGAATAAATTAGATATTAGGCAGCCCTTGAGACTTATATATAACTGTGAATAACTATTAGGGTGTCCGTTATTTCCCAAAATGGATTTTATTTTTCAGACGCCCCCCAAACTTTTAGATTTTGACCTAAAAAAAAATATGAGACCCATTTCAGCCCTTAAAATTGATATTAAACCGTGCCTAAATCATAATCCTTTTCTCATTTAAATAACATGGGATTTCCTGACGTTTTGCATTTAATTTTTATCTCCAAAGTAAATAAACCTACAGCTTCGACAAAGACATATTCTAATGCAAAATTTTACCCTCTACAAAAATGATCTCTTTGGTTTTTTGCTTAAAAACATTCCTGTAAAAGTTATTTGCGATTAAAGTTATACACATAGTTTATAATCTCATTTACAGCAAATTCTAACTGCGCCACCTATAATCAATTGATCGAAACTAGAGTTTACGTTACAATAATCGCGTATCGACAACGCGACTTAATCTTTGAATAATTTTTACAGGGTTGATTTTATCGAAAAAAGTATTCAGACCTTTTTTGTAGAGCGTAAAATTTCCGACAAAATATGTTCCAGCGGTATTTTTAGCTATATTTGTTTCGATAAAAAAACAATAACTGTAAAAAGTGCAAAAATCCCATGTTATTTAAATGGGAAAAGGATTATGATTTAGGCACGGTTTAATATCAACTTTAAGGGCTGAAATGAGTCTCATATTTTTTTTTAGGTCAAAATCTAAAAGTTTGGGGGGCGTCTGAAAAATAAAATCCATTTTGGGAAATAACGGACACCCTAATAACTATGTGTCACTCGTAGCCTTGTGCGCTTACCCCCACCACTTTTTGCGGGTAGACCGCAAGGCATAAGTAGATAGCGCGCTGCAACCACAATACTCAGTTGTGCCTGAGTGGACAAATAAAACAATCGCAGACCCCTATTTCTTTTTGGGGATTTAGATTGAATCATGCGAATTACAAGAAATCTACATGAGTTTTATGACTTTTTACCATCTTTTCTTTTAAATTACTTCGCGATTGTAACAAACAAATCAAAATTACAATTCTTCATAACGAACAAGGTGTTTTAGCAAGACAAATAGAAAAAAAAAGCACATTTTTCTATATAAAAAATAAGATTTCGTGCAAAATAGAACAATTCGAAACCAGAAATAGGCCTATAACGCAATAATATATGACAGAATAATAGTTATGTATGAAATATGCAGAAATTAGCCCGACAACAATAACAGTTTCATAACAACGCATAAACAATACCAACAATAAAATGCGAAAAATGTCCTACCTAAAGTACAATTAAATTATGTGTCTCGCAGAGCGCGCGTTGACGTAAGATAAATAAAAATCGATCGCGCATTGCGCCGCTATTACCCAATTAACACACAGCTCACAATTCATTGATTTCTTTCCAACATCTCGCATTTCTCGAGAAACGATTTGACCTTCGTGCGATACCAACCGAAAAACACTCCACGCCGACATATTCGACAGGCTATCTGATTATATAACCCCTCGGCCAAATATTGATACAATGTAAATATCAAAACGCTACATTATACACAAATATCTACTACCCAGAGACAAAAATATCAAACGCAAAAAATAAAAAATAACAAACAATTAAAAACAAAAACATATTTAGAATTAATATGTAATTTACACATGAAATATTGCTCTTTTTTATTATTTTTCAATTGTAATTGTAAAGATAATTAAATTAACGCACTTTGAAATTGTTTTTCTCATACACAACAACACCATCAATCTAATTAAATTCTATTTTTATCAAAATGTAATAATTTCGTCGAAATATTGCTCGGAAAATTCCTCTAAAAATGTTTTTTACATGATTATAATTCAGATAGGCACAAACAGCACTACTATTGTGACAACTGTCGCCTCCAATTGAAACAAAAACAACATCCACACACATGCTGAAAGCAAGAACATCGCTAGTAAAATTAAAGTTAATAACCACAATTATCGTTAATCAGTCGCATCAAGCGAATTACTCAAGCAAAAACTGCGTCCAAGAGTTGCGCAACTCGCAAATATTTTGACGGCGACAAAACTTGTGATCAACAAAATTATAAATATGCGTTTATTTCACTCACAAATCATTCTGTTGCATATTTTTAGAAAGAAAAAAACACGTGTAGCTCAATTATTGAGTCTAATTAAACTGCACCGCAATGCACGTGCCTATAAAAGTGTTTTTCCTTCGATTTTCAATTTGTTTACAGTTTACACGAATATTTCATTCCTAAATCATGCTACTAATCGATACCAACAACTTTCTTATCACGAGCAGGTGGATTCCTGTATGTTTTAGTTTTAAACTTTTATGTTATCGTGAGTAAAGCCACGCGATTTAGTCACAAACATGCACGCGAAAACTTGTGCAATATTATCTACTTATTTACATTTACTGCAATGCATGATTGACAATTATTTGTTATCATTGTTTACGTTGGACTGGACTTCATGTCACAATGTTATTCGGATAGATTAGAGTGATAATTGGCATATAATAATCAAATAGTAAAATTATGTTTTGTGAATATAAATTCAAAAAAAAAAAAAAACTAAGAAATGTTAGCAGTAAATTTAGTCAATAAAAACACTTGATTTTGAAGACTTTTAGTGTTGGCAGGAAGTGTGCATTGCACGAATCCGTGACTGTGAAATTGTAAATCAACTTTTTTTTTCAACGTTTTTTTTGTTCGGTTGAAGATTCTCTTGGTCAATGACAGTAACTTATTAATGTGAGGTTATTTTTTGTTCTGGAATGAATGTGAATGCGCACTCCGATGCGGTCGATGACAGATGACATTTTAAGGTTATAATACAGGTTACAAGTATTACGACATCGTCATCTAGAGCGCGCTGGTGTTGGCAATCATCTCATTCCTGCACAACTATGTTTTTGTTGTCTCCGAATCAGATGTTTCTGATAAGTCGATAAGCACCAACGTCAATTCTATGTACAACACAACTATAACTGTTTTCGGATGAATTCTAAGCTACTTTTGTGGCGTCGAAGAATAAGAAGGCTGCGGCGATCGAAACTTGATCGGTAATCCTTCTGCTTCTTCCTAGGCTAGCGAAGAGGTCCCTTACCTTTAGCCTATTCAGGTTGCCATCGCGAGCGGCGTTGTAGACGACGCTTTTGTAATCCATATTGTGGTGTGGTAGTAGCCCGGGTGGCACTTGCACAATTTTTACCCCGTTTTGACACACCAGACCTTCGACGATGTCGCCGTCCACAGGAACGAGGAGGTATTTCGAGACGCTGTGATGCGCGGCACTTATCTCCACTGAACACGCACGAACGATGATGAACTCGCCGCGTGTGTAGGCGAGAACGGTGCGTTTGGTACGCGAGAGCGTCGGGAATGTCGGACGATGATCGGGTGTCTCGTTTTTGGACGGTTGATGCCGGTGCCGGCACAAAGATGCGGCAGGTAAACTCAATGGACTCGCACGCCACGGACGCACCGCACAACACACCAACGATAATAACAACGGTTCAACATTCAGTGCAGCGGCGACGACAACATCGCTCTCGGTGCTACTACCGCACAAAGCAGCTGATTCGCATCGACTGACTGCGGTATTATTATGGAATCCGTAGCGACGAAGCGGACTGAACAGGGCGAGTAATAATAAGTTACTATTACAGTTTGCGACATCTATGATTGAAATCAAGCAACAGAACAGGTAAATTGGTAAATTTTACAGAAAATATTAAATTTGTTAATTTATTTTCTTGGAATTAACATAAATAATTTATTTTTATTTAAAAAATGGTTAGTGAAACAAACAATTTGTGGTATTTTTATTGTAAATAAACGCAATTTTATGCGTATTTTCAAATATAGTGTGATTCAATGTTCACAGGGGGCGCTAGGTGTTCTGTTTGAGATTTATTCCAGTCAACGTGGACTTGACGTGCGGCTGTCATGTTGGTGCCGCGTGCTTAGCGGTTGATCGGGAGGTGGGGCCGAGAGCAAGCGAACAAGGGAAATGCCGCCTGTTATTGGTAGTAGTTGGGGTGACGTATATCTGCCAAACAACCGCGTGCGCGCGCGTGTGAGTGCGCGCCGATGTGTACACAATTGTGTACGGTTGAAGTTTGGCGTCCTCGTCGCACTCGCGATTGCACCGACTGCCCGGTGTCGTCGTAATATCGGTGTCGATGCGAGAGAGCGTGTTGGAAGCGCTTGCCGCTCGCCGCGCGGCCCCTACTCGTGTTGCATGTTCGCGCGTGTGGTGGTGAAGCGACGACGAAGCCGCGGGGTCGTGCATGCAGCGCGGCGCGCACACGGCAGATGAGCCTAGGACTCTGCGCCGGCCGCGTTCGCGTGATCGCTACTCGCTCGCCGAAACCCCGACGAAGAAACGCGCAGCGCGTGCATTGTGCGTGCGCGCGCTTCGAGTGTGTTGTGTGCTGTGTGTGTGTGAGTGTGGGTTAATAATTACGTTTCGCGCTCACATCGTGTGAATCTCGCAAGTCCGCGCGCGGATATTTGACGAATGCGGCCGCGAAGGTGAGTGCGCGTCTGCAGGCCACAGCGCGGCTAGCTCGCAACATTAAAAATAAACAAAAGCCGGTGTGTCGGGCCGTAAACAATATGTAGCATTGTTGCGCGCTGGTTGTAACGGCCCGAACAGTGTGCGGCGTGCTTCGGCATCGATAAGAAGGCGCAAGGCGCGCGTCCGGCATTTTTTTCCTCTGCTTCGGCTCTGCTTGCTTGACTCGTGTACCTTTCGGCGCGCCGCGTTACTGCTTGGGTTTTCAGTGTGCGGTGCGGGTCGACCATGCCGACGCCGGGTCTCTGAATGTCCCCAGAACGCTAACAGCAAACTAAATACAGTAGCGCAACACACGCAACAACCGTCGCGTCGAGTGTGAAGTTTAAACTAACAACGCACCAAAAAAACTTGGAAATAAAAAACAACGAGTGTTAATCTGTGAACTTGTGCCGAAAACAATAAATCGTGCGGTGGCCGCGCCTGAGAAACAAACTCGCAATTTACAGGCGCGCGACGGACAGAAGAACGCACAACGACCGCACGACGGACATAACCTACAAGCCGCGGCGCATTCAAGCCTTGCTTCCGTCGTTGTTGTTCATTTGTTTGCACTCTGTAACTTTTAACCCCAGCGCGGCATCAAACGCGCGGCGTTAATTAAGTTATTTGCATTTTCATTGGACGCTGCGCACGTTGAGGAGATTTTCCATCGATCTATTCGAGTGAAAACAACGTGCTCAACGTGTGTAATCTACATGTGTGTGCGTGGTGAGGCGCAGATGAGGCTCAGGAACAACAGTGCCGGTGCCGTATGATGGGCGCTCCTCCGGTGTGCGAGCGCGCTTCGTGATACACGAAGAGTTTTCGGATTTACATTGCGAGCAGAGCGACGAGGACGACGAACACGCCGCCGACATGTATCCGACCCCTGCTAGGCATCCATCTGCCGCGGTAAGTCGGGTAGTAGTTGTTCGAGGGGCTTTCTTTTGGAATTTTACGTTTAGGGACCGTATTTACTTCACGCAAACTACTTGAATATTCGACAAATATTTATCGAAGATTTTAGCAACTGGAAGAGAAAAAAAAACACTGATCTGCGGTTGTATAATGTTAATCGTTCAAAATCTATGCTTAATGTTGATACTTTGTTAGCGCTCGGTTAACATCGACTTTTTTTTCTGTGGATGTGGATGCTTAATATCTTTTCATCGTGTTTTTGTGCGCGGCGTGTTTCTCCGAGAATCATTAAAACAAAGCGTCCGAACCGCGTCGTGGAAAGAGTCGCGCCAGAGGAAATTTATCTTCGTTGTTTATTGTTTTATGGCTGTTTTTGTTGGCCCGAAATTCACACTCGAATTTAGCCTGTTCCGCTCGTAACGAGCGACGCGCTTTTTTTTTTTCAATCGCTGCCACAATACGGCGTTCAAATTGAAAAAGAAATCTGCGTGCGCGCTTCGCCAACAGTTCACACTTAACGGCGAATTTGGACAAATTGCCGCTGTGGAAAAAGTTGATTTGCCGCCAGAACGGAAGTTTGCTTTAATTCCGTCACTGAGATTTTATATTTTTTCTAAATCTAGGGATCTATAGCTATTGTGCGAAAAAATTGCCAATGTAAATTAAAACCCTATTCATATATTTAGGGTCACATGAAAGCTGTGCCCTTGGGTTGGGCCGAGAAGGGCTCAACCCCAGTAAATTCTTGTCTTTTCCACCCCGACAAGCAAAGCATACGTCTTACTCCGAGCATAATATCGCTAATTTGTTGGTACTTATAATTTCTCCTTGTCATGTTTACTTTACTCTGTGGGGTAACTCAAATTGTGAATTTCGAAAATTCTCAGAAGGTCTTACAAAGCACTTTGGGGGTATTTTTGCTGACCGTGAAGGAAATACTTGTAACACATTTTGATTTTATTTTATTCGGAGATGGGAAAAATTCGAGCCTGAATCGCATTAAGATTTTATGTGTTTTCTCAATGGTGCGCGATGATCGTTTCATCATTTCGTGGACATTAAATCCCCGATGTGTAGAAAAGAAGTGCGCAGGAAAATCAAAGGAACCACAAATCCACCGAAAACACGCGGGCCCGAAAATTGAGCTCGCGCGCGCACGCTCTGCGGGAAAGAGATATTTTCGGAAACGTAAACATTCGCGCCCCGCGACTCACCGCCGGAGAGTTTTTATTAGATCTTGCGATCCTCCTTCACGATGTCGAACGTGTCGACGCGTGTGTGGATTTTAAACTTTTTTTTTTTATTTCTTACTTCGAAACTGGAAACACAGCGCGCGCGTTATTTAAGCGTAAACTTGCTTTTTATTACTTGCAGACCAATCCGAAAGTGAATATTTGGAGCATTCTTACTGGAATTACCAAAATTACAACAACTTAGATCACCGCGCGGTCGGTGATCTTGCAAATGTTTAAATTTTGTAATTACTCGTATCGCGTTGTTTTTATTGGTTCAATTGAACGTGTTTGCGAGGATAATTTTGTGTAATTACTAATTGAGCCTGATTATGCATCGCATCGATTCGGACACAGTGTGTGTGTATGTATATTCGGTAAGGTCACGGCTGTTAGGCCAACAGGTTAATTATCGACATTGACACTGGTCGCCGGCGAGAGGAGCGCAAGTGTCCGGTGTCCGCGGGACGAAACTACATAATGGCTATTAATGCACACTCGAGTTGACTCGGGTGCAATTAACACACGGTTAGCACAGTTTACACTTGATTCAAGGCCCAATAAAATTCAAAGTGTAGAAATTTTATCATTTACGATGGCTTAAAATTAAAAAAATAACTGTGTAGCTTGTCGCGGTTATATGGTAATCAAATTGATATTGATTGTGCTTTCTCATGGCCCTTGTAATTCAACGCCACATGGCAGCGAAATGATGTGTATATGTGTACATTAATGGGTGTAGATTGCGTGCGCACACGACGCTCGACCGCTCGGCGGCGGCGGTAATTAACGTAAATTGGGGAATTTTGTGCTGCGGGGAGAAGCCTCGCTGCCACGCTTTCGCCACTTACACCTAGTACATATTGCGTTCATCTTGCGAGTTCATCACCACAACCCTCGGTAGCTACACAGCCAAGGTATGCGTACTGGCCTCTCCTCTCGCCTGCTCCCGATGCCCAATTACTCCGCGGCAGTGGATATTCCCCTGCGTACTGAACACATGCGAGTGTTTAACTACTCTGGCAAACATCAACCGAGTCCGACCACACAAAGCGCGACACTTACGTATACATCTACCGCCACCGCCCCGACAACTTAAACAAGATTGAAGGTGGTTGTCGCGAACTTACATGCGCGCTTACACTAAAGCGTAAGTTTAGGGCTTCGCTTTGAGTCGAAATAATTTCATATTATAAATTACGCCCGCGTTCTCAACGTCGTTATCAACTGCTTTATTACCCTCACCGTGCGATGTGTGTGTAAGCTGTGCATTAGCGGTGCTTCCGAGTTAAAACTCGAGGGGTGAGGGGTGTGGGGTGTGACGACGTTTTGTCCTTCGAAATGTTGCGTTATCGCGGCGAAACGACTTCATCAAATCGTGTAATCGACGCGTTATCGCTCGTTCTACTTCTGCAATTGTAAAGCGCCATCTTACGGTCGGCACGTGGACTAAAATAGATGATTTATGTACAGTAGAGTCCGGTTATAATGACATCGAAGGGAATTGACAAACACGTCATAATAAGCGGACGTCATACAAAGCGTTTTGTGAAATGAAAACCCTTTTTTATGTAAATATGTACATATACATACATATTAAATCAAAATCAGAATTGCACGTAATCAGCACATTATAACACATACAAGTGTATTTTTTACTGCAAGTAATCTGTAATTTTTGTCCGCTTTTGTTTTTTCATTTAATTAATTTTCTTGTGATTTTCGAAGCCTCTTCGGTTTCAAAACATTTGAATTGAACGATTGCTGAATACGGTTCTTGTTTTTTAAAAAGCATTGAGATTGTCGAATGACCCACGCCAAATTCGAATTAATGAAAAATACGGATTAAGTCGTGGTCAAGGTGCTGCTGCCCGAATGCTTATATTTATTATTTAAGCATTTGGTCTTTCCGATAGTAAATACATAAATGTAATTTGACAATCATAAAAGAAATGTAGCAATAAATATAAAAAGTTCGCCACGTGTCGAACGTCGTCGGGTATCAACGAACATTACCGGAGGTGTAAAGAATCATGTTGGTCATTATAACCGGACATAATCTATTAAAAATGGGTCATAATAAGCGACATGTCACTGTAAGCGAAGTCATTGTATCCGACTTTTTTATACAGAATTTTATATGAAAACCAAACTTGGTATTGTAGTTACGTCATAATAACCGGTTGGTCAATATAAGCGGAGTCATAATAAACGGATTCTACTGTATTTTTATTTGAAAAAATATAGATTTGTGTGTAAGCAGGTTATTTTTATGTCGTAGTTGTTTAGCACAAACTAAAAATGTACAGTTATGTAGAATAGGGCGAAATAATTAGTTTACGCTTATCGTTATCAATATTCATATTCATTTCGATATATTTTTTTACGATGAGCACTTTATCGTCGCATACGCCGTTAGAGCGCTGATTGCTTTACAAAACATATTTACCAACACGCATTCGTCGGATTCCCTCCATGTGCACTTAAAATACTCGGGCGTTTGTTTGTGTGACAACACCTCGTCGTTTTCGAAGCAGCCATACTCATTTAAAATGAGCAAAGGCAACTAATTTGCCTCGGTGTCATACACCGCGCGCAGATAACGCGTATGTGTGTGCGCATATGTGAAATTATCATCATCGGCGTGTGTTATTATCATCGTGTTCGGGTTGGGCGCGATGATTGTTGTGCGGTTTTGATGGTCGCACACGCGCGCGCTTATTATTTAGCGGATTCGAGTGGAAAACGCTCGGACACGTTCAGTTAATTTCGTCGAGGGAGTCAGTGTCGAGAGCAGCGGCGATTCGCGTTTATTAACGAACGCACAGGCGTGTGCTGCGCGCGCGGACGAAATCAAGGCGAAACGTAAACGGCCATTATGCAAATGAGTTGTAACCGAGTGTAACGAGCGGCGGCAGGGGGGCTGCGTACGCAATCGATGCGTGCACGCGTCGAATGAATGAATTTCGAGCGGCTGGAAGAGTTTTATCAACGTGTCAAATGAAACGCTTAATGTTTATTTATGCTAATTTTCCGGACACCTCATGTAGGGTTAGTTAATTAACTTGGTTTTCGGGCCGATTTTTAGGCTTTGAAAATAGTGATTTTGCGTAATATTTAAGTTTTACGCGAGGGTCGCTGTCAATTTGTGTTTAATGTTCCGGTTATCTTTATGCAGCCAATGGTAGCAATAATTAGTGGCATAAATTTCGCCGTTTAATACAACAACAACGGCAATAATAATAGGTATTTCTTTTATTGCTGCGGGACGAATATGAAAAAAAAATCATGCAAATATTACGAGCACGCTTTGAGTAAATTTTGTTTTTGTTGCAATTTGCCACACGCTCCTACATTTTATGCGCCTCCTGTGCACTGCATACCGGCGTTTGATTTGCTGGATGTAATGAGTGACGTGCGGCGGCGTGCCTTTGATGACATCGCAAACATTAAAACGTCGATTGTTATTAACGTTTTTACGCACATGCGTGCGTGCGCGCGAGAGGAAATCGTAAATTAAAGATTTTAACAATTCCGAGCGGCGGGCAATGCCGAATGCGGAATGTTGTATGTTTGAATTATGCGCGGTGGAACGAGCGCGCTCGCACAATATGATTGTGCACGTGATATATTCGTATATATACAAAATGCGCGCGCGCGAGATGCGAGTTTAATCGCCGGCAAGGCAGCGGCGGCGGCGGGTCTCGCGTTAATATTAATGCATAATGCCTTAATAATCTGTTTAATTTACCGCTGGCTAAT